GTTTGGTGATCATATGTATATATATATTTGATGTATATTTAACAGGCAGCTTTAACATTTGTATTTCCTTACAGAGTTTATGAGGACACAATGTGGATGAAGATGAATTCATTGAGTAATTATGTCCTAAATTACCTTAATATTGTCTTAGACTATAAAACTACATACGGAAGAAATATTTTCCAAGGACAAGCCTAGGAAGTTTGGCTCTTGTTTCATATTATCTTTAAAATTCACACACTTTCTCAACTTTAAATAGAAAATAAGACCTAATAAATACAAAAGTAATGTAAATAAGCAGATACTTTGATTTTCTGGGATTCCACTGTGATATTGTAGGACTGTCACTTCCAGGAGTTATTTCGTCCTTGAATAAACATATTATGGTACTATTAAGATATACATATATATATATATTTAAAATGTTCAGTGATGAAGATTACTTCTAAAGGGAGTAAGTCTCCCCTGCCCCCGCCATCCATTCTCCTTGCTTTTGGCCAGGCAATTCCTCAGGAATGTTTCTCTATTTCTTTTTAAAGAAATAAGGTCCTCCAGGTCAAAAAGGAGATTACAAAGATTTCCCAAGGATAAAACAGTTAAGTTGCAATCAGTCTCTTAAGGTAGTTAGCTCTGCAGTCTGGTGTTTCTGTCTTTGCATTGCTTTTCCTCTGAGAGTGCCTCTAAGACCTGGTAGTTAAAAGTATAAAAAACAATTTAACAAGAACATCCATAATGATAAGTTTTATTGTGCTATATTTCCATGGTTTAACTGTTCTCCAAGTGGTCCAAGGATTTGGAAGGTCTAAGTAAATTCCCATGAAGGGAAAAGAGAGCAATAAAATTTTTAATAACACTGGTGTTACCTTACTGTGAGAGGCACTGGCAGTTAGTGAATATGAATTAAATTCCATTTAAAAGATTTGGGATCCTTTTATTTCATTGACAGTTATGAGCTAAAGCTGTAGATCTCAACATTTTAAATAATTATTATTATTAATAATTGTTATTGTCTGAAAACTGATGATTCCTGGAAGGCATTACAATTACCACACTTAATTCTAAGGGCTTAATTCTGTCTCCTGAGCCCCAGATCTCAGAGGGAGTACAGCTGTCAAGTATTACAAAGCCTCAGGCTGTCCCCCTTTGGCTGGAAGGTAGAGCATGCAGATCCCTCGAGTCTTCTGTGGGTGGCTAGTGCTGCTAAACTGTAGGACCTCCAGGAGTGCAATTAGGTCATCCCCTAAATTTACTGTTTTGGATGCTCTCAGAGGGGCCAGCTAGAGTTTATCTGTAGTAAATAAATAAAGAAATAGAAATCTTCAAACTAGTGCAAGACAAGCCACAGAGAACTGGGTGATATTGAGATCTGTGTAGCACAAGACAGGACAGATGTTTATTTTCCCTAAAATATGACCTTTCTATTTATGCAGTTCTGTGCAGTGGTAAAATACAGTTACCTGCTTGAGCTGTGTCTTTTCAGTAATATGTGTTCTTGACACACACACACACACACACACACACACAGCAGTAGGTTTCTAATTCACTCTGAAGACAGCAAGGTCCATAAAAGGTCTGTAACCTTTGTAGAGTACTCTGATATGGTGAATATGCGCTTTACTGGCCTCTGAGGACTTAAGGAGCAAGAGTAGCATCACTTTTGAGTAGTTAGCACTTCAGCCCTCTTTGAGGCTACTGACAAGTCCAGGAAACATCCAGGAAGTGACTGATTACACCCCTTTGTCTCAGGGAAGCATGCCATCACCTGCACTGGTGCTAACCCTGGTGCCAAATTTCAATGTTTGATATAAATAATAATAATTCAACAAGGGTGCAACAGTAGCCTGATGCTAAGGGGCATCCAATGTGCTACAGGCTGTTAAACTCATAATAAACTCTAGTTAATGTAGTCAAAAGTGATGCAGTAGAATAGAATAGACTAGACTATTCCAGTTAGAAGGGACTTACAACAATCATCTAGTCCAACTGCCTGACCAATTCGGGGCTGACCAAGTTAAAGCATGTTATTATTTATCCAAATGCCTCTTAAACACTGACAGCCATGGGGCATCAACCACCTCTCTAGGAAGCCTGTTCCAGTGTTTGACCACTGTCCTGGTAAAGAAATGCTTCCTAATGTCCAGTCTAAACCTCCCCTGGCGCAGCTTTGAGGCATTCCCATTTGTCCTATCGCCGGATTCCAAGGAGAGCTCAGTACCTCCTTCTCCACTTACCCTCCTCAGGAAGCTTTAGAGATCAATGAGGTCACCCCTCAGCCTCCTTCTCTCCAAACTAGACAAACCCAGAGTCCTTAGCTGCTCCTCAGAGGACATGCCTTCCAGCCCTTCCACCAGCTTTGCTGCCCTCCTCTGGATGCAATCAAGGACCTTCACATACTTCTTGAATTGTGGGGCCCAGACCTGCACACAGTATTCAAGGTGAGGTCACACCAATCCTGAACACAGCTGGATAATCTCATCTTTTGAAAGGCTGGTTATACTGTGTTTGGTACACTTCAGATGTGGTTTGCCCTCTTGGCTGCCAGGGCACACTGCTGACTCCTATTGCCTTTTCTGCAGGGCTGCTCTCCAGCCACTCCTCTCCCAATTTATACTTGTGCCTGGCATTAGTCCGTTACTAGGTGCAGAATCCAGCATTTGGTTGGACTTGTTAAATTTCATCCCATTAATCGTAGGCCAATGCTCCATCTATCTAGATCCCTCTGCAAGGCCTCTTGTCTCTCAAGAGAGTCAACAGCACCTCCCAGTTTGGTATCACCAGCAAACTTGCTCATGGTGCATTCAACTCCTGTGTCCAGATCATTGATAAATATATTGAACAGAACTGGGCCTAGAATTGAGCCCTGAGGAATGGCACTGGTGACCAGTTGCCAGCCAGATGTGGCCCCATTCACTACAACCTTTTGAGCTCTGCCCTTCAGCCAGTTCTTCACCCAGCGCACCGTGAATCCGCTCATTGCACAGTCGGACAACTTCTCCAGAAGGGTGCTGTGAAGGACAATATTAAAAGCCTTACTAAAATCCAGAAAATCTACATCCACCACCTTCCCTTCACCCACTAGACCTTATTGAAGGATATCAAATTAGTTAAACAGGACTTTCCCTTTGTGAACCCATGTTGACTGTGCCTGATGATTGCATTATTCTTTAAATGCCTTTCCGTAATACCCAGTATAATCATCTCCATAATTTTTCCACAAAGTGAGGTTAGACTAACAGGTCTGTAGTTCACTGTGTCTTCCCTCATGCCCTTTTTGTAGTCCGGAATAACATTGGCTAGCTTCCAGTCAGCAAGGACCTCCCCAGAACGCCTAGGGTCCTGGAGCTCTTTAAGGTGTCCACAAGAAGACTTCCCCATATATGTTTAAGGAGGGTTTATTCGAGGGCTTGCATGTGGAGATATGAGACCAGGCTCATCCATGCCACAGAGTTGCACCACTTCAGCTGGAGTTGCCTTTCAAAGAGAAGGCAGCATAAAAATTATTATTGCAGTGCTAATATACTTTAATTAGGCTTAGTCAAACCACTTCCTATTTAATTTATGATAAACTAACTTGGTGTAACTGAATGTTTTGGTATTTGACTTAAAGTAAACATAAGTTATTCTTCCTGAAATGGAGATATCATAGACTGGGATTAACATCTTAGACCCTGTTGCAGTTTTGCCCATTGGTGAATTCATTTGAATTGTTGATTTTTTTTTTTTCCAAAAAGGTTCTCCCTCATTCCCCTGTGCTGTTTACATCTTTCAAATTTAAAGTGCTCCTTGAGAGTAATAATTTTCTATCAATATTTCTTCTCAGTCTACTTTGATATTTTCTCAAGATTTACATTTTCTAATATTGTAAAAGCATATTCTTGGAGTTTTTCAATGGCTTATTTCCAGTTCTCTTTGAACCTTTACTGTTGAACTCTCAAGTTTCCTACGTGTGTATTCTTATAGATGCAAATTCAGGATACTGGGTTTTTTAAGATCAGAGTTTTTGAGTGTTGCTCCATCCTTTCTGGTGATTTCACTCAGATTTATTTGCAAAACCAAGCCTGTTTTCTGAGGTCACTTTGAAATTCAATTTGAAATGACAGTAAGCACAATTGTCCCTTTTTTGCTCATCATTAAGGAACTTTTAACTAAATTATTAAGTGTCTTTTACAAGATTTGCAGTGCAATAGAAGGTCAAATTCCAAATGAGTTGGAGAGACATTCTCCCTAAAGACAAGGAGGCTGAATGTTTGTTTATAGGTGTGTGAAACTAAAGTTTCGCGTTATGAATGTTTAGATATTAATGACTCTGGAAAGGAAAATTTCTTTGTCAAATTGTGTGGCTGTCTTAGTTTAATATTTTCATTGCTACTGTGTACTGATGGGATGAATAAGAAGTATTTTTATTGTACTGTTGTGAAATTTGCAATTTTGGATTAATTGATTTTGTACTTTGAGCTAGTCATTATCCTATGAAGTTACCATTTCTGTCTTTCTTCTACTTCTTTCTTGCCCACATTTGGCAGAAAGAGAAGCCTATTCCTGTTGTATAGTCTGATGCTGTGAATGTCCTTTTTATAATTTAATTATATAAATAACTGAGTCTAGTGCATTTTACAGTGTATTTCCTTAAGCAAACTAGATGGAATGCTTTTTAATAACCATATAGCCATTTGATGATTTTTATACTTGCCATTTGAAGATAGTTTGGATATAGATTGATATAGAATTACTTAAAGTACTGCATATAAATTAAACATTAAAAAGGTAGATATAGCCAGACTAAGCAGCTCAATTATAATCTTTGGTTATGCAGTTAATGCCTCAAGGACACTCCATCCATTTCATATCATATGTCCTTCTTTTGAAAGATGATCAGTGGATTCAAGTAACATTTCAGCACACAGGAAATTGCATAATTTATAGACTTCTAGAAATGAAAAACAGAAAACTGGTTTTCACAAATTAAATTTCCCTCTCTTTTTTCTTCTCTCCCCTTACAGATTGGAACACTGAAGGATTACTACCACTTCTACCATAGTAAAACAATTAAAAGGTCAGTTCTCTCAAGTAGAGGTACCCACAGCTTCATTTCAATGGAACCAAAGGTAAGAAAATCCACCTATGTGTCTGAGGCAAAAACCTTTGCATTTTTTATATGAAATATCATACCAGAGGACATTCACCTGAATGGCATATAGCATTACAAGAACTGACACACTATCTGTTCACTAAGGTTCTGCTTCCCATTAAAACTAAGTGAAGACAATACCATGCTATTAAGTATGTGCTATTCTTGGAACATAAGGTCCAACATTATTCATGGAGGAGTACAGGAATTTTGTTAATGCAGTAATCACTGTGCTGTGCTTCTCTGCAAAACCACATGTGTAACATTCACGTCTGCAGATCTCCTTCTGTAACTCAACCAGCTTTCAGAATGAATATGAGCGATGTGGGATGGCATGATGTTCAGAGAAAAGTTTCTCTTGCTTTTTTCTGGTCTTTTGCTGGACTTGGTGTATGAGGGATTAAAGTAAGAATGCTCTTTTCTGTGGTCCTTTTGGCAGTTCCTACTGATATTAATTTTAAGATCTGTTTGAAAAATGGTGTCATATCTTTGGAGTATATACTGTAGTAGGTAACTGTCAACATAATCTAATTACTGATTTATTGTTAAGTATAATATTGTCTTGTATCTGTACTTACTTTTGACACATTTTTGTTTTAATCCTTTAATTTCAGTTGGTAGCAGCTTCATCACTGACTGTAGAATTGGATTTCCTCTGGTTTTCTTTTAGAAAGGAGGTTTGGAGAATATCTCATTAGCTTTTTTATCCTGTTCATGCAGCCCACTATTGCCATCAAACCCACAAGTCCCTGGTGTTTTTCAGTGGTGATAACAGAGTCAAGCTTTTTTTAAGTCCTTGGATAATGACTGTTGCCTGTGAAGGATTTGTCAGGTTTTACTTGACAAATAATTTATGAGAAGTAGAAGTTATCACTAAAAGACACTTTGAATACTGTAGATGTACAGTGTACAAGTTGAGCATCATACAGGAATACTTCTGCAGTCTGGAAAGCTGTATGTAGGGCTGAAGTTCCTCTTGAGGATGGGACAAGACTAAGGAAGTGCACACAAAACGTTTTCACCCCCTTGTTGATAGGGTTGAACTGCTTAGCCCTTTAAGAGCACCAGCAGCTTTGCTGAGCAGCGTATTTTGGGGATTGGTATGAAAATGATCAGGGCCCAAACCTCTGTTCCCACAAGTGCTGAGACCCACCATTCAAACAACAAGCACTGCACCTAAAATAGGCGATACTGCAAAAGGAAGGGAGAGTGTTCACGTGTGCATCAGTCCACGCTCTTTCCTGTGTGCACAGGGGTGGAGCGATTTACACACAAATACACAAGTTCCCCTGCACGTACCACCATAAACTTTGGTGTCACATCCAGCTTCCAGATACCCGTTCTGCACCTCTGGCAGCCAGCCCAGACTACCGTGGCCATAATCATGAAAGACTCTAAGGCAAAGCACAGCAGAAAATCAGAACTATCCTTTATTTTCCAGCACTTTCCATGTTATGGCATTTCGGTCTTGTCCGCAATCTGTGCTGCTGCTGGTACAGAATTTCTGAATTTCTGAATCATTGTTAAATATCACTTTAATATTGAGAAGCTCTAGTGAGGGTTGTGCACGGTACTCAACCCTGTTAATGATTCTGTACCCACAGAGAAGCTGACAGTCTAATGCCTAGATCTGGAAAAAGTGTTCGTGATTGACTTCGTGACTACTCCACTGAACCTGGGCTTGGGAATTCTTGTGTGGCTGCAGACATGTCAATATATGGACATGTATTTGTAGAATAAAGGCCAGTTTGTCCTCAGTGTGTATAACATTTAATGATTATTAAAGCAGAATGGAAATTTAATTCTGTTATATAAGCTGGACCTTTTAAAAACAAAAAGTTTAATCTTAAATAGGGCACATTGCACGGCTGTAAGAATTTTAAAGGACCAGTACTATGTGCTATTATATTTATGAGTGTGACTGTATCTAATGCCAATATTTGCAGCAGATTAGATGGCATGTGTATTTGTGAACAAAGGAACACTGAGGTTTGTTTACTTTCCAAATCATTTAATGGTAGTTTACTTAATGCTTAAAATCCTCGCCGTGTAACATGCACACACAATTAACTTGATCTGTGCTTGCTTCAGATGTGGATCACTAATTTCCTTCTTTATGAAATTTTAAATGATGGAATTTTTATTGAGTGGTAATTCATTATGTAAATAACCTGCATATAATGGAAGAACCATTATGAAATCTGGTATTTCTAAACTATTTGTGTGGATAGTGTTTGATTCCACTGTGCGAATGTGCAGGGAAAGATATATAGGTAGTACAAAATCTTGTTATTGTGGATTTCAATTAATTAATTGCTTTGAAGATTTTTGGTTTGATTTTTTATTCTGGAGAAGCCTCTTGACACTGTTATAAACAATATGAATAGATCCAACAGTGAGCATAAACTGAAGACATGTGGATTACACATTTTGACAATTTCCTCAGCATTAACCAAACATTACTCTGTATTTAGATGAAAAAATAAAGGATATGCAGTGTAACGCAATTTTGTCCATTATCATCCACATCCTTGCCTAGCTGCTACGTGTTGTCATTTAGATATGAAATGGATTAAGTAGTTTTCAGAAGAGATGCCCAAATGAGGCTTTAATATCCCTAACATAGATTGTCATGTAGAAAATTTGAAACATAGCTTTATCCACAGCATCTTTTCTAGGCCTGTGTATAGTTATGTGGTGTTTTCTATGTGTTGACAGAAAAACAAAGAAATGAGAGAAGTTTGTGGATTCAAAGCAGAGATTAGTACTATGCCTCAAAGTTAAGCGTTGAATGAAATATATTACAGAGGTTTCCGCTCTCTCCAGCTGATGTGCTGCTTGTGGTTGGCCTTTGGCAGGGGACAATGAAAGCACCATACCATGAATCGAGAGCCTTTTTAAGCTCCATAGAGTTTGCTCAGCAAAGTTATTTTGGTGACACTACAATGCATGAAACAATGGGAACAGGAGCGAAAAGGAAGTTGGAAGATGGACAGAATCAGTGCAAAGCTGAAAGATGTCATGAAGCTCTAATTCAACTATTAAATAGTTGAGTTTATTGCCAGTAGGCCCTCTATTGAAATCAGACTATTACAGCACTTCCAGGGTGGGAATAAAGAGCTGTGGTACACCTCTGGGTTTGCTGCAGTGGTGAAATGAAGAGTCACAAAGTGGAAAAAATTGCAAAGAATGATTGCAACCTGTGTCTATAAGTCAGACTTTACATCAATATACGATGTATTCCTTTACATAAGGAAAATCAAGTGGAGCTTTTCTGTCACTGAAGAGATTGCAGTTTCAATGAAATGTCAGAGTTGAAGCAGCTACGCATGACAATAATACACAGAAGTTAAATGGACAGTATAGATGAGAAAGCTGTCTTTTTATACTGGACTGTTATGTGAGATTAAGAGTTTGTAGTGAAGGGCTGTGGTAATGAAGTTTGTGACTCATATGGTGAAAAATATCCCACAGAATCAAGTAGCATAAACGGCAAAGCAATAATCCTAGAATAACATAATTCTTAAGGTAATAAAAGGCAGCTTTTAGATTGATAATATATTCAAATTGATGTACATGCGAACTAAAGTTTGTTCCATTTTGCCTATGAGGTCCCCAGTGCTTTGCATCACAATGGAGATTTGAAAAAGACATGTATCCCATAGCAATGCTCAAAAATGTAAAATTAATAATTCAAGTTCCTGTAAAGTGTCACATTTACTAATGGGGAAAACTTCTTACAGCATTAGTGTTTGTTTATCAAGCTCAACTAAGATGACATCTCATCTTTTTTAAATTTAATTAATTTTAGGTAGGTTTATTTGGGGTTTGAACTCCTGGTTGATGGGTCAGGTTCACTCATCTTGTGGAAATGGAGAGATTTCCAGTCTCAGTCCCACTGAAATAAGAAGTAAAGCTACCTAATTTCAGCAAGATACCCTGCTTGACCAGGATTTTGTCGAAGTGCCATGCCTTTGTCACCTCTGCTCCAGGATCAGAATACCTGGGGAAACATTACTCCAGGCATTTACATTTTACCCAGCCTCACCTAACCACGCATAGAGCAGATCTGTATGACCTGGTGATACAAAAATGTTAGTACTG